GGAGGCGGCGGCGCAGCGGCAGCAGGACGAGCTGTGGCTGTCGCAGTTCCTGGGCCGCCGCCGCGCCGCTCCCCCGCCGCCGCCGCCTCCCGCCGCCGCCACCCCCAGCAGCGCCCGGGCCGTGGCGGTGGCGGCGCTGGGCCGGGTGGCCCGGCTGGCCGCGCTGTGCCGGGCCCTGCGGCGGAGCGAGGCCGAGGGCGACGAGCCGGGCTGGGCCCGGGCGCGGGAGGAGGCGGAGGCGGCGTTGCGGGAGCTGCGGGAGGTCGTGCGGCCCCTGCGGGAGCCCGGGTACGGCGAGGCGCTGCGCAGGAAGGCGGAGAGGGCGAGGAAGAGGAGGCTGCGCCTGCAGCGGAGGAAGCTCGAGGCCAGGGCGGCCAAGGAGGAGGAGGCGGCCCGGGCCGCCGAGCGGGAGGCCAAGATCGACCAGTGGCGGGCCAAGTGCATCCAGGAGGTGGAGGAGAAGAACCGGGTACGGCCCCGAGTGCCTGGTCCTGCCTTCCCCGGGGGCTCCTGAGTGTCCCTGCGTTAGCAGGGCGAGGTGACCCGCCAGTAATGGGGTCACAGTGGTCTGTGCCTGCCCCACACGCGGCTTTGGGCCCCGTGGGTCAGTGGGTGCCACCAGGGTGCTGCATGACTTCAGCTTCCTTGGAGTCATGCCCTTCCCAAGGCCTGCAGACCTGCTTCTTCCCTGAAAACCTTGGTGGGCATCTCAGCTTTGCCATGCTCATGTCCTAGCCCTTGGCAGTTGGGAGTTTAAGTTGCTTCTGAACTGCTGGAAGTTTTCCTCTCTGGTCCCAAGTGTCACCCTGCCCTGTGGTGCTCAGCACCATTTCGGTATCCCTCAGCCTTGCCTGCTGCTTTCATCCTTCTACAGCTGGTTGGTTGCAAGCGTTTTGGTCTCATCTGGAAGTAAAATGTCCCCAAAGCAAAAAAAAAATCACCACCTCAAATTAGCCTTACTGGGAAGTGCTGTAGGCACTTTTCTTGGTTTTTATGTTGGTTTTTGGCCCAAGAGCTCCCATTCTGCTGGTCTGCTGTTGGGATGGTCCAGAGCAGCTGCTGCGGAGGGGTTTGTGGTCAGAGTGTGGCACGTTAATGGTCTTTAATTGCAGAGCTGTGGAACTGGAATTGTTTCTGTTTATTGCTAAATGTTTTCCCTAAATTCCTGTGGTTAAAAGCTATCAGGCTTTATGAGTTCATTAGCCATCCTGGAAGTGTTCAAAAACATGGATGTGGCACTTGAGGACGTGGTTTAGTGGTGAGCGTGGTGGTGGTGCCGATTTGGCAGTTGGACTTGCTGATCTCAAAGGTCTTTCCCGACCTTTAAGACTCCATGATCCCGTGATTTGGTCCAAATTTATGAGTCCCACAGCACTCTTTTTTTAGTTTTCTGAAGTCTGTGGTTGTTGCTGTGAAGTAACTGATCTCCAGTGCTTCGCTCATCTCTTGGAAAATGCCACTTGATTCCTGTCCTCGAGGGATATTTCACACATCACGTCTGGGTTTTTTTCTCTCCCAGGAACGAGAGCTTAAGGCTGCTGCTGACAGTGTCTTGTCTGAAGTACGGAAGAAACAAGCAGACACCAAGAGGATGATGGATATCCTGCGTGGGCTGGAGAAGCTTCGGAAACTGAGGAAAGAGGCCGCTGCCAGGAAAGGTTAATTACAAGATTTTCACCCAACTTTTTTTATTGCACACCCAGGAAATAAGATGATGAGGGTGCCCTGTGCTGACTAGCAAGGTGCAGCTTCAAAAAGCTGTATCTTTATAATGGATTTGAGTTACAGGAATAGCTGTAAAATGCTGAATTCGCAAGTAGTTGTGTTCCTGTTTTTCCAAGCTCGCTCTTGATAGAACAATTATTCCAGTAAGAATTCCAGCTGTTAACAAGGTTAAGCTCATGTTTCCCTGAGATTTTGCCAGCTCTGCTCTCAAGTCTGATAACAAACCCCTTTCTGAATCTGAAAACTTAAAATCACTTCTCTTTCTCCTCAGGTGTTTGTCCACCCCCCTCAGCAGACGAAGCATTTGAAACTCAGGTGGAGAGTCTGAAAACGTTGCTCAAAACTCGCACAGAGCTGTACGAGGCTGAGGAGAGAGCACTGAGGGTTATGCTGGAAGGAGAGCAGGAGGAGGAAAGGAAGAGGGAAATGGAAAAGAAACAGAAGAAGGAAAGGGAAAAACTACTACAGCAGAAACTGGAAATGGACTCCAAGCTGTTTGGGGATCCAGGTAAATTCTGCGTGCCATACTTAACAGTTTTTCCACACCACAGCCCCATCTCACAGGCAGTGAGTTTGAAATGTAGGCACAGAATTAGTTGAGAAAGAAATCATCCACTGGAGTAATTTATGGTCTGAGAAAAAGGTGGGATAAACGTAGTGTGCTCTTTCACCTGTGGTGTAAGAGGAACTGCTCAGCTGATCAGTGTAGACTGCAGCACATCTCAAGCTGATTTCATAATGTTTTCCAAGAGGAGGTTGTAGATTAAGCTGAAGTGAAACTAAACAGAATAGATTGAAGACTTACAGTACCCAACAGATGCTTTAGTCTGGTGGTTTGGTGTGACTCAGGTAACCTGTACAGATTCGGTGTCCATGCGTTCCCTTTGTTTAGAGAGTAGAAGGCAGGAAAGTTTTGCTAGTCCTTAGTATATTACATAGAGACCTGATTTCAAAGTACAGCTGGGCAGTAGCAAATGAGTTGTCAAATTTGGGTCTTCTAAGACTCACTAAAATCAAAGGTTTTTCTGGATTATTGAATAATTTCAGTTTCTGTTTTTTCACAGCTGAATTCCCGCTCGCCCATCTATTGCAGCCCTTCAGAGACTACTACTTACAAGCTGAGCATTCTGTAGCAGCTCTAATCCAGATCAGGTAAAGCGAAACAAAGTCTTTATTTTATTGTCAAAGATGACAAATACTGTTCGTTGAGATTATAAAATCAGCATCCCTTTTGGTTTGTCAGCTTCCAAATTTGGTTATGCAATAGATTGTGCTGGTTTTTTCAAGTTTTTTGCTTGAGTCATATCCAGCAGATGCCCGTGTGAGGCAGAGTGCACTTCACGCATAACTATTCCATTTAACAGCAGTACTTTTGATTTTTACATTTGTCTTTTGACAGACAAGTTTCAGAGTACAATTTGTAACGGTTTGTGTCTCGATCAGTGTGGAAAAACACATCTGTGGCTGTATAATAAATCTTACCAGCTCTCTCTGTTAAAGGCATGAGTGGGATCAGTACTTGGTGCCAGCTGACCACCCCGAAGGAAGCTGCATCCCTCCAGGATGGGTTCTCCCCAGTCTCCCCACCAACGACACTTGGGCCACTGCCGTCAGATAATTCAGTAATTAAGTTATGTTAACGTTGGAGGATTGTTTTAATTATAATTCCATGTGTAAATAGGAGAGGGCCCGAAGAGGACGTCTCATCCTCTCTTTTGGCAGCCAGGTACTGGAATGTCTTTACTGGAATGTCTTGAAGAAAAGTTTTAAGAACTGTTTTTGTTGTTTTACTCTGCATGGAGATCTCTGAGCAGGCCCAGAGCTGCCAGGCTTCTGGTGATGTGGAATTACAATCCCGCTGCGAGTTTTTGTTAAATCTCAGTCTTAATAAAGGAACATTGCTGACAGTGGTAGTTGTGCCAGTATTAACATCCTATTTTTAGTGGCTTTTATCTTTATAAAAGATTATGAAATCTCCAGAAATAAATATTTCTATATATATACATATATATATACACCATTAGTAAATATCTTATTCTTCTTAAATTAAGCATGTCAAGTATCACTGTCAAAATAGTTCCTGTATTTTTGGGTGTAGAAATGAACCTATTACAAGTTTAAACAAATTCTGAAGTACAAACAAAACAGGATTTTTCAAGGTTGATTAAAGCAGCTGCTGACATTTTACTTCTGTGGGCTAAAACTGGTACCACAACATGGAAAAAATTCCCAGCTGTGGTGAAATAGGTCAGACAGCCGTGTGAATAGACACAAATTTGATGAATAAGCCTGCTGGAAAAAAAATTCAATAAAATCTGAAGTCTGTCCTACTGTAATTGTTTTGCCTATATAGCTATTTTTGTATAAGGACACATCATGTCTGTAATATTTGATTACAAAACGCAGCTCTATTTTGTAAGTTGGGTTTTTTTTTGTACAGAATAAATAGAGAAAAATGGATTCTTTTCTTTTTTCGTTTGAAGCATTTTTACTCCGAGGGAGAGATTTGTTTGAATACTTGGCATCAAATGCGACTCCAGCATGGAGAGGATTGCTGGGAAAAGGTTTGTGTGAAGGAACTTCTCCCTCCTCCAAGGTGACAGAGGCATCTGATGTCAAAGCCGTCCGTGTTCTGGACAGTTTGCTTGTGGCACTGATGGGCCATATGGATTGGGGGCTTTGCTGGGCTACACAGATGGTCATGGCACCGTTCCAGACTGCAGACCTGATTCTTGCTTAGCCCCAATGAGTGGGAATCGAGTTAATCTCTCCAGTGCTTTTCCTCCCGGCGTCACAACAGCGCGTCATCCATGGAGGAGGCGACGTCATGGCCTAAATTCCTCACTTGGGCCTTATGTGATATGTTAATAGTTCATTGGCTGAAGCTTTGCACTGGTTTCTGTTTGTAAGAGCACACAAACTAGTGGTTTTTAACAGAATTAGTGGGAGTGCAGAAGTTTGCAGTTCTTGCTCACCTGCAGCACCTCAAAATACAGATCACCAGGAAGCCCTCTGGAGGTGGGGTTCTGATTTCCCCCTGTCACTTCCAGCGTCTCGGTGCTCCAGACCCAATGCTGAGTCAGATCCTGGGGAGTCTTCCCTGATGGACATGCCCAAGTTCAAATGTAAAAATAAAAACAATTGCATAAAAACAATACAACCCCAGCACTTCCAGCTGAGGAAGCTTAGTGACCGGAGGATGCTCTGCTTAAACATTTAGGCTCCTTATCCCGTCAGTGCGTCCGAGGGACAGGCCAACCACTTAAGCTATGATTATCTTAAAACTGTCCAAGTCAGCTGCTTGTCTGACACTGCAGGAATTTAAAGAGCTGAGCAGTAGATAAGCAGGCAGTGGAGCAGCAGCCCTGTTCTCCCTGCCCTGCGAGGAGAGCTCCATGAGTTCATCTGACGGTAAGGATAACTTCATCTTGTTAATAAACAAACACAGGGCTCAAAAATGCCAGGGGACGATCCACCTATAGGTGTATTTCCATCCCTCAGACTTTCTGTGGTTGTTTTTGTGTATTTGTTCTTGTCCAGCAATGTCTGCCTTAGAATGTTTTATATCTCTAGTGGGGAAGAGAGGAATGTTTAAAATCTCAACTCATAAAATACATGGAAACAGAGTATTCTCAAAAATTGTTGTCTTCTGATTGAAGAGTCAGATTTGTCAAAGTATATTATTTCCTATTATCTTTAAGTTTTTAAAAAATTACTGTAGTCCAGAAGAAGATAAGGGTTGGCTATGTGTTTCCAAGGCTCCTTTGCATCCTACTCCTCTGCCCATCCCAGTGCAGTTCATGTTGTTAAGGCACATCCTCTTCCTGATGTGAGCTGGTTCCTGCACTGGCCAATGTCTGTGGTGTGCAAGCAGGCAGGGCTGGTGTGGGGCACAAGCTCAGAGCCCTTCTAGGAGTTGCCTTGTGGTGTGAGTTGGTGTTCAGAACTGACCATCTTGTATTCTTATCTAGTAGCAGTTTTCTTATCATCACACCCACCCCAAAGGTCTTCTTGTTTTCTAAACTGTGGCTTTGGGAATTAACACTTGTGGGAGCCTGTCTTAGAGCACCAGCATTTCTGCAGGGAAATACAGCAGGTACCACCATCTCTTCATATTTTCTTCATCCCCATCCCTTAAAGTGGCATTTGAACCCGAGTGAAGCCATTCTGGGTGACAGATGCCGAGACACAACTTTCCTTTGCACCTTGTACACAGAGAAGCACCAGTTTACAGCATAAACTGTAGAGAGGGTCCATCCCCCTTGCACACAGGGGCTGTGCTTGGAGCTGCAGGCAGCTGGGGGAAGGTGCAGGTCACTTCACATGTTGCCTTTTGTCCCTACTGACGTGGATTGTCCTTAGGCTGAGCCCTCTGAGGCTGGAGCAGATGGTCTGGCTCTGTGAGGGCTCCCCACACGTTGCCTGTGTGGTGTGTCAGAGGCAGGACATGTGCAGGAGCACAAAGCTCGTTAGGGGCTCTGCTTGGGCAGAGGTATTAAAGGCTCCTGGCGTAAGCAGGCAAGAGACAACCCCGGTGTCATTCTGTAATGAGCAGCTGAGTTGCATTGAGTGATTGTGTGTGTCACTCATGTCTGTTTGTGGTCTGGAAACGATTTTTTAGTCCTCTGCCAATGTAAGAAACTACTTTGAATCCTATTTCCCATTATAGACTCTTATTGTTGCATTAAGCACACAGTTTTTTCATCCTTGTGTGCATTCATCTGCATGTTTCCTTTTTGTGGGGTGTTTATCCTCGTTGTCAAAGAAGCTGTTTGTTTTTAAAGGAAAAAATAATCGGGAGAAGCACTTAGGGATGTCACACACATATTTACAGTGTGTCTTGAGCAGGGGGTGTCACACAACTATTTACTGTGTGTCCTGAGGATGACTGCTGAGGACTTTGGGATGAGCAGGCACAGGCTGTGGGTACCAGAACTCATGGGGAGAGTGGCCACCAACTCTTAACAGTTGATAATCTGTAAAAGAAATAATTTTGCATACTGTCATCACTGGGAATCTCGAGGCTTCATGCAGCAGTAGAGGATTTTTCCTAAATTGAGACATGCATAGAGAGCTGATGGCCACGTTATTGCAGTAATATTTTCTGTGCCACCATTCCCGATTCATCAGAAGTTTTTCTCTCCCCTGCAGTCCTGCTCTAAAACCATCACCACACTTAAAATGAACAGATGGTTCCTAAAACCTAATCTGGCCTTCAGATGGCTTGTTGGACATGCCCCTAACTTAAGTTTGCCTGATGCACCAGCATCCTGGCCTGGCTTCTGCTAAGCTGCTGTGGTGCCAGAGGGGATGTCCTCACCCAGCTCCCTCAGGGTGCTCCGTGGGATGGCTTAGCAGCACATGGCTGTGTGCATGAGCTCTGTCACCACAGCTTACACAGGGAGAGGAGACCTGCAAGGTGTCCTCCTTGGCTGTGGTTTCTCCCTCTGTAACTGGAAAAAGTGCTCAGTGTGTCCCCAGCTTGGGGAGGGGATCATGCAAAGGGCAGCAGAGGGAGGGAGAGGCAGGAGGGATGGGAAGCAGCAGGGCATGCATGGAGGCGGAATTGGAGGGGAAAAATGCTCAGGATCTCTGCCAAAGAAAGCTGTAAGCTTGGTCAGGTCCTGCTGGTTCAAGATGAGAATAGCAAAGGTTAGTTCAGACAAATCTTCCCAGTGTCAGTAAATAAGATTTTGCCCGTCTGGGCACTGCACACAGTGGTTTTTACTTGGCTGGCTCTTGAAAAAGCTCATCTTCCTCTCCTTCCACCCAACTTAGGTGCTAGTCCTGCTTCTTACAGTTCTGTTTCCTCCCTTCCTCCAGCAGCAAGAAATCAGGCAGCAGTGATGAGCTACCTGGATGAAATTCCCTTCCGGATGGCCCTGAGCCTCGACGGGGACTCGGAGGGAGAAATCCCCTTAATCACCGCCCCGGACATCGAGGTCCCCGACTGCACTGACATCCTCATGAGCACCCTGGTGAGTCCACACCCAGAGCACTGCTGGGGGATGCTCAGAGCAATGTCAGTGGTGCTCTCCTTTTCTTAGGGGAGAAGGGGCACATCCTGATTGATCTCCTCTTACTTGGCTGCTTTGCAGCGGTATTGGGAGGAGAGGATGATTTGTGATGGGTGGGAGTGAGGAAGGAGTTGCTTTTAAAAAATCCTGTTCAAACAGGAGGCTTGGGTCTTTCTGATGTAGAAGGACAAATTTCTGCTCTAGGGTTGTTTTCTACTTTGGAGTTATCGCTGTCACATTTATTAATACTATTTATTAAATATCAATAAATTTAACAGATATAAGCAGGCAACATTACCTGTGCTGACAGCATATGCACCAATTAGATATGTATGTAAATTTTTATATACATACACATATTTATATATACATAAAAAATTTTATATATGTGTATATAAAGTATCCTGTATTTCCCCCTATTTGGGGTGCACTGATGCTCCCCGCCAAGGCCAAGCAAGATTGTGCTGCTGCTTCAGGCTGATCCTTCTGGAGGGATGTGGGGGTGTTTTCCTCAGGGAGGCTGCTTTGGGTCCACAGATGACCCAAGTGGCAGGAGCAGTAAAAACAGCATTCCTGGGCTGTGAATGTACTTGCCTGCCTGTCCAGAGGAGACCTTGTTTGGAGAGCTCTGGGACGGGCAAGCCTTGTTTGTTCCAGGAAAATCCTCAGATTTCAGTCACAAACAAGCTTATATTTTAAGACAGACTATGTGGAAATGACAACTCTGTTTGGGGACCAGCCGAGCCCCTGGCGCCACCAGAGACTCCCTTGGCTGGTCCTGCCGCTGCCCGAGGTGGCATCTCCCTCCTTGGTGGCTCCAGAGCCCCTGTGCCTGAAGTGGCTCTGCCAAGTGCCACTAACGAGAGCCACAAACAAACTCTGCCACCACTCTGGGGGCAGCCTGTGGCTGGAGGCAGTGCCTCTCTGCAGCTGCCTAAAATTGGGATGCCCATACCCCCTGTCTGCACCCTCCCACCTTCCACAGCAGCCAAAGTGACACAAAACCACCTCTGAGCATAAAACACTTCTCAAAAGAATTGTAGGTACAACTCACAATAGTAATAACTTCATAGGGGGACTTTTATTGAGTGTAAATTTGGGGATTCCCTGTAGGGATGAGGCTGGCACGGCCCAATCCTACAGCCAGCCCTGATGATCAGGGAAGCAGGAGCTGATATGAGAAGGCTGCAGCCCTTAAGCTGCCTCGCAAAGCGCGTGGTTTGCTCGGTGCCACGTTGTTCTGGTTTCAGGTGTCCTCACCCAGCTGCCTCTCGCTCTTCCACAGCACGACTTCTCCCTGGAAAGGAAAGTGCTCTACTGGGTCGAGGTGGCCTCTCAGCAGCAAACCTGCCGGCACCGGGTCACCTCCGAGGTGGTCCCCACGGCCCCGCCATGCTGGCTGCTGCTGGTGGACCCCGCCGACAGCTACGGGGGCCGGGCGCGGGACGGGGCGGTGCGGCGCTCCATCAGCATGAGCGCCGCCGACACCTCCTACGGCCACGACGCCGAGAGCAACACCTGGCACTCGGAGGAGGGCGACTGCTCGGACGACGAGTACTCCTCGACCTCCCTGGAGGAGAGCGACAGGGATGAAAAGCTCCTCTCCAGGAGGAGAAGCTCTGGCAGAAGTGTGGCCTCACGTCTCAGCTTTTACCAGACCCGGCCGAAGACGTCGCCTGGCTTGCTGGAGCCCTCGCCGGAGAACAACGCCCACAGCGTGGCCAGCCCGGACCCCAGCAAGCAGAGAAGGTCCATGGTGATATTTAACAACATGAAGAATGAGCTGGAGGCAGCCAGGAGGAAGCTGGCTGCTCTGGTGCATCCTCTGAACAGAGCTGCCACGGGGGGCAAGGGGAACCCGGTACCACGGCTGCTCCCACAGTGTCCCGGCACCAACCGCGGTGTCAAGTACGGGCCAGCCCAGGACGTGTCCCAGCTGGGGACCTTGGTGCCAACTCCTCCTTCCACAATCCCACCCATCAAGCGGCACAAACCCACAGTGCCGGTGAGCTGCTGCCTTTGCTTGGTGCTGAGAGAGGAGGGAGGTGGAGGGTGTTGAGTTGGTCTCATTTGCCAGAGACTGGGCAGCAAAATGGATTCAAAATGGGACTTCAGGAACACTGGACCCATGAGAAATTACTGATGGGTTTTCATAAGAAGTGAAGGCAGGGTTTCTTTTTTCCTCTGGGTTTGTGCATGTTTACTTGCTCTGTCCTAATCAAAACACTCCTGTTTTTCCCAACAAGCAGGGTCTTACTTGATTATCAACTGAAACACTAAAAAAAAAAAAAAGAGTGAAATAACAGGATTTTTTCCCTCTTTTCTTTCTATTACCCCCCTTTTACAGATATAGGTGGGGTTTATAGGGGAAATGCTCCTTTACAGCCATCGTGTCTTTTCTAGGAAACTTTGGACTTCACAGTCCTGCTAAAAATACAGATCATTGGTGAAAGAGGGATGTGACAGGATGGAGTAAATATCACTCTGTCACCTTGAATCTGAATTGCACCATATTTTTTAAGAAATCACATCTCATCCAGCTACTTGAGAGATTTTAGGAGATGAATTACTGAAAACCTGCAATTAAAACCATGGGACACATGAATGACCAGGTTATTTATAGGCAGTTGTATTAGACATGGGGTAATTAAGGAAAGATTAAATGTATTTGTACATCACCCAGCCTGAGTACTCTTTGATCTGATCTGTATCTATAGCTGAGCCTGGATTTAATTAAATCCAGTCTCCTTTGATGCCCATTGGATGTTCCATGTATAGGAATTTTCCTCTTCTGGAGAGAGCAAGGGAGCTACCGGTGTCCAAGAGCGTTGCTTCAGCCTGGCTATTTGACATCATCCCGTGAGCTGGAGCAATAAGACCCTCTTCTGTTCTTCCCTTGCAGTCCCTCAGCCCCTACACCTGCCTCCCTCCTGCCTGCACGCCCGGGAGACCCCTCAGCTCCGTCAGATCCCAGCCGGATTCCTCGGCTGACCTGCTCTTGGCGCTGAGCCAAGAGGAGCGAGACCTCATCGAGCCCGTCGTGGCCCTGGGCTACGCCCCGCACAAAGCCATCCTCACCCTCCAGAAGACGGGAAGGCAAAGCTTAAGTCAGGTTGGTGGAGCTGGGGAAACCTTTGGTAAAGGAGACCTTGATTTTCCTGGAGAAAGGGATGGCTGTCTTGTTCGGGGTGGATTTCTGATGGCCTTGGCTCTCCCGCTTGGGTGTCAGACCGCAGCTGACAGGCTTTTCCATGAGATCACGCTTTTGCTGTAGTAAAATAGCAGCGAGTCGCCCTCGGCTTTTCAGCGCGTAATCACGGCTGGTTTCGTTATCTGTTCAATCTGTTGGTGTGGAACTTCATGTCCTTCTGAGGTACAAATTCTGCCCCCATATATGGAAACTTTTTGCACATCATTTTTTCCCAGTTGCTGGATTCGTGTGATGATTGCCATGGCTTATCCTGTCAGAGCGGGACTGTACATGTACCTCAAAGATTTGGTTGGGCTCTCTCCAAAACACAACTTCCTTGCCTTACAACAAGCAGGGAATCTGTGCAAGCATTGCAATGGGGTACATCCTTGAGTACATCTTTGCCTGCAGTGCTACATCCACATTCCTGAGGTCTCTGCTTGTGCAGATGAATCCCACAGTGATCTTGGGGGGCCTTGGAGCATCCATGATATGAGGGATGCTGATGCCTCTGATTCCTTTGACAAGCTTGGGGCTGGACCTACCCATCCCAGCAGAGGATTTTAGGGCTAAATTACCCAAGCAGCTCTTGCAGAGAGAGAAGGGGCTTAATTGAAACTCAACAAGAGGGATGTCCATGAAGCTGCCATGCCAGGGAGCGGGAGAGGCATGAGCAGGCGCAGTGCCAAGCAGCCTGTGCCGGGTGCCAGTCTCCTTCCCATTCCCCTGGGAGCTGCCTGTGCTGCGTGGGCCAGCTCCCACCCGCCTGCCCGGCGCATGGAGCTGCTCTGGGGCTGAGTCATCTGCAGCTCCCGGCTCCCTCCTGAGTCACCCCAGCTGGACCAGCCCCCCAGACCTCGCTGGTGTTTCAGGAGAGCCGAGTTGGGAAGGGAAGCTTTGTGTCTTCAGTTCATGGAGGTTTCATGCAGGCAGAGGCGGATGGACAGAGGGCAGCCCACATTCTTAGCACAGAGCCATGAGAGGGTGTCTTGTGGCTTCAAAACGAAGAAACTGCATCTTGTTAAGGATGGAAATGGGTATAGGCTGCTCTCTTCTGTATAAACACTGGACTCCCATTCCCTTGGAGAAGAGATTCCTTCACCAAAATACAAGGTCTGCCTTATATCCTGTGCCTGCTTCACCAGCAGATTCCATCTTTCCCATTTATGCCCAATGCAGCCAAGATAAAACGTAAGGCCTGACCTTTTGTGCATCTCTTACAAGTACAAAACTACCAAATTAGGCTAAACCTTCCTGCAAAATATGTTCCAACTGAAGTTAAAAAGAAGAGCTGTGGGTGCTCTTCACTGCTTGCTGTGTCACGCAGGGTTTCAGTGTGTGATGACAACAGCTTCAACTCTGAGGATTGATTGTAGTACCAGATGGTGGGCAAAAATTGCTCAGCTTCTTTGCACTGTCAGCTCAAAACTGGCAAAGCCCACCTTGGTAGGGAAGGCAAGTTTGTGGCCTTAAAGAGGCAATGCCTTCTCAGTTCTGGTGGAAGAATCTCTTTGAAAGGCTCAGGCAGGGTTAGTTGCCCCAACGTGCCAGAGGTTCATCATGTAGGATGTCATGGCCAAGGGCTAAACCAAAAATGCAGCATTGCATTTTGATCAGTGATCATTGACCAATTCAAAATCCATCCCTGATCCATGGAGCCCTCGATGTACATGTGAGCTGAAACAGGACAGAAGCTGCAGCTGCTCAGCACCCATGTCCCCAGGCAGCCATAGGCACAGGGCAAGAGTGTCAAAAAACCTCCTTTTCTTTAGTCTTGAGGAGAAAATTATAAAAAACACTGAGTTGACAATGGCACCGATTTCACACTGGGCTTGACCAGGCTGTCAGGACTGTCTGTGTTGTGCCATGAGTGAGCAGCTGTTCCTGCCACAACAGAGCAAGAAAATACAGCAATGAGCAGGGCTTGTCATTGATCAGGTAATGTGGGAAATAAAGTCAGGTTAGCAATGCCAGTGACCACTGACTGCCTCCTTCCTGAGTTACTGAGCTGCTCCTTAAGGCTGACATTTCTAAAAATCTACAGTTCAGCCAAACAAGATCAGCTCAACGTTTGAGGGACTTCTTTGCCTTTTTCCTATGTTTTGTGGTCTTTTACTCAGTCCTTCTCCTTGGCTACGACGGTGCTGGGGAGGGTGGAGGTCTGGGCACTGGTGGATCCAGGGAAGATATGAATCAGTTTCTCCTTGGATGAAGATGGCACAGCTCTGGGGAGACCCGTGGGATGTTTTTATTCCCCCTGCTATTGTATAGCTCATTTATTATTGTCTGTCCCATATGTTTTTGGACAGTGAGTGATTCTCGCGGTATTTAAAAGATGCTGCTGGGAATTGTGCTGTCAGCACTCCAAGAACAACGAGGAAAGCCAAAAATAACTGTTTACTTTCAGTAATGGCAGCACACGGGTCTCCCCTGGGGTGGGTTTTGCGCTTGGACCCTGGAGCAAACCCAGGGGTGCCTGAACCCTGGAGCATCAAAGGGATGTGGGGTCAGCTGAGGGTGGACATCCCACTGGGACAGGCTCTGCCTCACCCACAGCCCGGAGGCCATTGCTCTGTATCTCAGAGGTTCAGATGTTTGGTTTGCTCCTCATCCCCCCTCTGCCTCGTTCCCATTCCCACACTGGGAGGGTGAGTGGGACCGAAATGTCATCTCCCTCTGGGAATCCTGTGGACAGACAGACCACCCTGGCTGAGCACCAGATGGGAACCAGCAGGATGGTGGTTGCTGATGTCCTCCCCGTGGTGTGTCCCTGGTTGGTGGCAAGGTGGGCTCCTGTCTACCCTCGCTCCCTGTGCCTGTGAGGCTGGATTAACCTGGTTGTCTTCCTCTGCAGTTCGTGAGCTACCTGGGTGCCTGTGACCGGCTGCTGAAGCAGGGCTACGAGGAAGGGCAGGTGGAGGAGGCCATGGAAATGTTCCAGTACTCGGAGAAAAAGGTCAGAGTGGGATGGCACAGCCCAGCCCTTTGTGCTGTGTCCTCCAGGCTCGCTTTTCCAGCGGGCTGCACCCTTCCCTCCACTTCCACTGCCCCTCATAAGGGTCAGACCCACTGCCCTGCCACCAGCAGGACCCCCATAAGGATTCTCTGGGGAAGGACACCTGCTCCATCCCCTTTTCCATCCATCCTCTCACCCCACTGTAGTATGATGCTTGTTCAGCCACTGGGCAGGGAATCCCATCCCAAGCCCACCAACACCTGCTCTTGTTCCCTCTCTCCCAGCTCCCCTGCAGGGAGAAAAACTGGTGGCACACTGGCCATTGGTCTCCATCATCAGTCTCCTCCTGGGTAGTGAAGAGCCTGGGGAGGTGGAACTGCTTGAAGTCTGGGCTGGCAGTGTTTGCTGGGATGCCAACAGTCTGTAGGACTGTTGTGTCACCGCTCGTTAGGGCAGTGACAGCGGGGGGTGCCCAGGTCTCGGTGTCAGGGAAGGTTTATTTATTGAGGACATGGCTCTGGGTGATGTCATGGCACTGGGGCCCAGCCTGAGCAAGGGGGAAAGCAGGACAGATGAATTCCAGCTTGTGCTCAGTGCCTCTCCCTGCTCTCTTTATAGTGCAGACAAACGCTGCATGGAATTGATACAAACTTTATAAGGAATAAGTGAAGCTGGAGGCTGACTTTATTAAATATTTCTTATTTAAGAAGTTTAAATGCTACCAGGGGATATGTGTGTCCTCAGGCTGCTGTCGTGGTGCCCTTTGGCCGTGACACAACCCAGCCAGGGCGTTTGGCTGCAGCCTTGTGCCCCAGCACTGCTTCTGCTGCAACCCCACGATGGATCCATCCGTGATAACATCATTCCCCTGTCTTCCTTCTTCCTCCAGGCAGCTGAATTCTTGCATCTGTTGGCTCAGTTTAACGATATGGGTTTCCAGCAAAATGAGATCAAAGAAGTTCTTTTGCTTTGTGGGAATCAGAGGGAGAGGGCGTTGGAAGAGCTCGTGATGAAAACCCACTGAGCAGCACCCTGGACCCATCACAGCTTCCCCCTCTCCAGACTGGACCAGAAGCACTCGGGTGGTTCTGCTGCTCCATCCCCACCCCTGGAAGCAACCAGACCTTCACAGCTCTGCCTTGGTGTCTCAACTCATTTTATGGACACCCATCATAAGCGTGTTTATCATTCAGGCACCGACTTCATAGGAGGAATATTTATCTCCTCACCCACACGTCCCCACCCTGATCATCTCAGCTGTTCAGATTAGATGAAATAAGATCCAAACCGCCTTCGGCTTAGATTTTTGCAAAACCCAGACCACAGTGTTCTCCCTCCACCTGGGGTGATGGGTGTCGTGTTTTCAGCTACAATCAAATGTGGATTCTTAAGAGATTATATAAATCATCAGAAGAAATTGTTTTCCTAAAATCTGAAGGTTTCTGCAGGAACATGTGTTGGTCCTGGCTTGCTAAGAGTCTCAGCTGACTTAGTCATGGTTGCATATTGTAATTGAAATCCAGTTTGAGCACATTAGCTTCTCCTTTTAAACCAGAAATGTGAGAAAAACACACAATTCCATGAGGGTAAGGAAAGAAAACAGGCTGTCCTTGCTCTGAAATACATGAGGTTGAATGAAAAATGGTGGTGTTAAGGGTTTGTCTTCAGGGAACTTCCTGAAATCAGAACAGAGAGATGGGGAACTGCTCACTGCCCTCATGCTCTGCCCAAATCAGGAAAACTCGGGGGATGCTTCCCTAAACTGTGAAGACAGTGGCTCCAAATGAAATTAAGCATGAAAGTCAACATCAGGAACATCTGGATGCTCGGGGAATTTCTGTATGTGACTGAAGGACAGAGAAGGGGATGTGTGTCCTGCCTTGGCAGTGGAACAGTGGACAGTGTTTTCACATAAAGTATGTTATTTTCCTGTGAATTAGATACAGATGTAACTTCTTTGAGTAAAGATGCTTGGGGGGGTTCTTCTGCAACGTGTTTGTGTCTTTTCCTGTCAGGATGCCAACTGGCACAACCCTGCAGAGAAAATCCTTCGTTAGTTGCATTAGTACCATTTTTCCATCGTATCCTTCCAAACAATCTCCCAGTCTAACATACTGCCACTGAGGTAAAACACTGTGTCCCTTCTCCCTGGATCTCCAGGTGGCTGCCAGACACCAGCAGGAAGGTACAGCTCTCCATAGCTGCCCTCATTCTTGCCTGGATGCACAAGGAAACTTGGCATCCAAGTTTTGGGGGACTTGACCTATCCCATTCCCAAGGAAGCTTTATTCCTGCCCTTCATTAATGGCACTGAAACAGGAAGTGTGGTACCTTGTGTGACCAAGGGAGATATTCCTGAGGAGCTCCCAGGCTCTTCCTGGAGCTCCCAGCTCTGTTTTTGCTCCAGCTTTCCCTTGGTTATACAAGCTTTTATTTTTGATGCGGCCCTTATAAGGCAAGTCCGTTCTACAGACAGCTTTTCCTTACGTCCCCCTCTTGCCAAGATGATGTCACCTTAAAAAAAGAAACTTGAAAAAGGTTAAACTGTGATCAGGACGAGTGTGTCGCCTGGAACTGTGATCTTTGGCGGAACGAACCCCTGAGGATGGAGAGGGGGAGATGAAGGTGCCGAGCCGGTGCCAGCAGCGCGAAAGGTCGAGGGCTGAATTCTGGTGGAGGGAAGCACGTTGGCAGCGTTGTGCCCACAAAGGCTGAGCAGCCTCTCACCCTCCTCAGAGGAGCCTCCTTGATCCCGGCTCATCGTTTCTTGCAGAGGTAAGAGCTGTATCTTTTGTGCTCCCTTTGCACCTAAAATTACTCTCTGTATCATGGTCTGGATTGATGGATGAAACAAAGGACTCCTCTCTTGGGTTATCCATGCCATACTCAACAGCCTGCCAAGACCTGCGCTTTCCCCCAAGTGCTGCACTTAAAATCTTTTGCATTTTGTCAACAAATACCTTTGTAAACCCATGAACTGTCAAAAAAAACAGCGTGTGGAGGTGGGGAGGAGTTTGTATGACTTGGTGTTGGAGCTGGAGGGAAGGGGAGAGCCTGCCAAGTTCAGCAGTCCAGGGTTGGCCACAGGAGCCCAACACAAATATTTTACTAACAGAATTATTTTAACTTTATTTTAATGGAGGTTTAAGCTGTTTGTTCAACCTGAAATGGTTTTAAAGCAGCATGTTTCCATATGCTGCTCTCAGTTAGTTGAAGACAACTTGAAATGTTAATTGGCTTTATCTGGGAGGGGAATGAGGATTTGACACGATGGGTTCCTGTAACGTCCTCCTGGGGACACCAACACAATTCATCTCATGCTGCTCATGGTGCAGAGGTGAGGGAGGTCCCTTGGTGACCTCTGCCTCCCCTGTGCCACTGCCAGGCCTCCACCTCCACAGGCTGCAGTCCCATCATAGGTGACATCGGAGTGGTGGCCTGGCCCGGTGGCAGGGGACAAATGAGGACAAGGCCCATCCATCTGGCCATGGGTGCGAGTTGGGGTTGTCTGGTTTGTTTTGGTTTGTGGTTGCATTGAGGGGTTTATTCTCAAAAGAGGGAACTGTTTTGAAAGTGCTGAGAACTTGGCGAGGGTCAGCACGGAGGTATTTGAGGCATCCCGGCTGGTATTCCCTTCCGCTCCATCCTGGCCGGGACGGCACAGGGAGCCCAAAGCCTGACCCACGGGTGGGAGACCAGCTGACCACAGTCTGGGTTTGCTGCTGCCCTGTCCCCCAGCGCTGTGGTCACACAGGGGAGCTCTGTGCTCTCCAGGCACCCCCAGAGCTGGTGCTGAGGGTCAGCAACCTTCCACTCCAGGCAGTGGGATCTCATGGGAACAGCTCCTCTGGCTTTGGAGCTCTGCAGGCCTGGCATCACCATGCAAGGGTGCTGCTCCTTCCCTTTTTGTACCCTCTGTACTTCCAAGCTCTGCCGTGTCCTCAAAAGACCCTGACTTGGTTCAAACGAGCCTCTGACAAGAGCCAGCACCTGCCACCCCTTTGGGTCTCGGGGGGATGATGAATGGTTCTCAGGTCCCAGAAAACCCTCAGTGCATTAAGCACCTGATGCCCAGGAGCTGCTTTCCTTGACCCCCCATCTCCCGTTCTCCTCCCAGGACCCTGCTGTGGCCACATAGATATCCCAGGGGAGCACAGGGCTGTGTGGGAACCACACTCCTACGTACAGCTCTGAAATGGAGCCGCAGCTGAAAAAGCATTCAGGGGCAGGAGTGAGTCCTGACATGGATCTCTGCTAGGAGGTATTATCCTTCAGAAGGAGGAGGGGGGGGAAACCAAACCCAAGAATAATGAAAACTCAGTAATGAGAAGCTTTTCTATAGCTTTCCTTTTAATTCTGGGATATAATAAATATCCCATCAGGGCAGAGAGGAGGTGGGGTCCTGCACGCCCTCAGAGTGCAGTCAGAATAAATAACCCCCCTGTCTGCACCTCTCTGGTACTGTCCTCTGCAGAAGCCACAAAGCCCTGGACATGGTTGGCTCATGAGCCCACGTCTGGCAGGACTTTGCACCCGTGCAGGGCAGGCAGGGCCAGCAGCAAGTGCCTGCAGTCCCTTCCCCTCTGGCAGGTCCAGTGTCACCTTCAAGGTCCAACATGAGGCATCCCTGGACCTGAGCCCGGCTCCACGGAGGAGGAGAGGAGCCCAGGGGAGCAACAAGTGCAGAGCCACGTGCAAGGAGAGCGCCCTGACATGGGATGGGGGACCACCTACGTCGCGATGTCGTGGTCACGTCTCGGCAGCCGCAGGAGGAAGGTCTGCAGGGAGCCACTGCGCGGGAAACCTGCCCGCTCCTTCTTCTTCTTCCAGGTCTCCTCTTCCACGGAGTAGAGGAGCGTCAGCATCTTGTTGACGGTGTAGATGGTGTCCCCCCTGACAACAGCAGTGAACAGGGCTCCCTTGCTGTTCAAGAACTGCCCGGGCAGGGCCGTCCACTGCCGCGACGTCAGGTTGAAGCAGTCGATGACACAGCGCAAGAAGTCGTCGTAGGGGCCGTTGCGCATGACGTAGAGGTTGTCACGGTGGGCCACCATGCAGTGCCCGTAGCTCTGGTGCCGCTTGAGCTCGGTGACGGGGAGCCACTCGTCCCGCTGCGTCTCGTACTCGTAGATGACGGTGGTGTCCAGTGGCTGCCACAGGCAAACGAAGATCTGCCCCAGGGCTTGGGCACAGGGCGCCGCCGTGCTGGGCTGCGGCAGGTCGGAGACGAACGTCCAAGTGCTGGAGGCCACGTCGTACCTCTCCACGGACTTGAGTGAGATCTTCTCGTACTCCCCCCCGATGGCATAGAGGAAGCCCTCGTGGCCCACCAGCCTGACATCGTAGCGTAGCTGGTGAGGGCTGGGGAACTCGCTCCAGGCGTTGGCGTCAGCGTCGTAGCAGAAGCTGCTCTCCACCACCTGCTTGTTGGCCCCGTAGACGCCACCCACGATGTAGATCTTGTTATCCATGGTTGCCATGCCGGCTAGGAACGTGCTGGCGCTCAGCGGCAGGCAGGAGAGGGTCCTCCACGCGTTGGTCTCCTCGTCCAGGTAGCAGATGGTCCTGGACAGGTCCTCCAAGAACTCGAAGGTGGGCGTGTGGGCTCCCACTGCCACAAAGGTGCTGGGCAGGAGGGCTTCCACGTAGGCCAGCAGGTCATCAGAGAGGCAGTCCAGGTACTCCTCCAGCTCAGCGTAGCTGTCCCTGATATAGAGAGCGGCGCAGTGGAAGAGATCCAGGAGGCCGAATATGGCAGCGGCTTGGTACAGCAGGATGCAGTTGTCGGAGTTGATGGAGTGGATCAAGTACTTGGCCAAGGGCTTCACCTGCAGGAAGGCAGCACACTTCACTGCCTGGAGGGTCTCCTCACTGCCAAGGATGGGCCTCTCGCCCTCCAGCACCCGCAGCATGGCGAGGAACCCGGCCGCGCTCAGCTCCCCCAGCCCGATCTCCTCCTGCGTGCTCTCCCTCATGCCCGAGCGGAAGAGGGCACGGAAGTACTCACTGCTCTCCACCAGCAGGGTCTTCTCCACACAGAACAACTGCTCCTCCACCCGGATACGCACCCGCTGTGGGGGCCCTGCCCCAGAGCCTTCCTCCTCCGGGGTCATCCTCTCCTGGGGGTCAGCAGCTCTCAGGGGTGGGGAAGCAGCCGATGCCCCTCCGTGCCGTGTCCCAGCACAGCCCCCTCCTGCCCCCTCCACCCTTTGATGCCTTTGCTGCGCTGCCCGGTGGCCTTGTAACATAAATACCTTGGGCTAAAGATAGCTGAGCTCGTGACCGGGGCCCTTCAAAGGCATCCGCCGGGCTCAGCTGCCCACCCAAACTCAGGCAGGGCTCCGGCATCACCGGCCAGGCTGGGCACGGCAGAGGTGCCCGGATCATCCCATGGGGTGTGCCTGGCCGCTCCTGGGAAACCAGTTTTGCTCTCCCCACTCTCGGGCATCCTCATTGCAATACCCTAAAGAGATGGTTCCCATCCCGGGGGGTTGTGGGGAAGGCAACATGTCTGCACAGCTGGGAAGAGCACGTTATCACAGTATTCTATTTTATTTTCCCTTAAAAGTGGAGTTTATGGCCACAGGGAGGTAAACAACATCAGCAAACGTTGGTGCCATCCAGCCTGGCTGTGGGAGGAAGGGGACTTGGCTGCCACAGGAGGGAGAGAGGGAAGAGGCATCAGCAACCCAGGCAGCATCCAGCCCAGGCATAAGGAGCCATAAGCCAGGCTGTGCTTCAGCTGGGGATCTCAAGGTGAGGAAAAGGAAGTGCAGTGACCCCTTTTCAGCAAAAAACTGGCCTCAGGGCTCACCTGCTCCCTGTGACACTCAGCTGTGGGCAGAGATAAACCCCTGTGACTGACACAGAGGTTGGTAGTGAAGAAAAGTGACATTTGTGGCATGTTGCTCCAAAGCTGCTATTCACAGCTTTTCCTGGCTAGAAATCCCATTTCACCTCTGCCGTGGGGTGCCGAGGAGAGGGCCAACAACAGGGCTCACCTGAGAGGCTACTTCCCAGGTCTCCCCATCACCACCTGCAGCCAGCCTTTAGTTTTGATGAAGAATTTAACCTGAGTAGCCCACCCTGTTGAAGGTCTATTCTTCCCTCCATCCTTAGCCCCTCATCCCAGCACCCAGGAACAGTCAGGGCAGCGCAGGATGGGAAAGCCAATGTGCCAGGGTCGTGGCACCAGCAAGTCCCCCAAAAATCTTAGTTTAGGGGAGAAGGGAAGAGCTTTGCACTTATGCTGCTGTCATTGATTCTCATGGATACCCAGCTCAAAATACCACATTTAGGTCCGATTGCTTTTAAGCCTCTTTGACCTGTGTCCAAAGCGGGTCTGGGATCCAGGGGTCCCCAGAGGGGCTCTGCTTCCTGCAGGGGAGTGATCCCCGTGATCCCCATCCTCCCCATCCCTGGGTCTTGCACGGACTTCTACGCTCCCAGACTATTTTGGGAGGGTTTAAAAATATCCTGCCTGCATTAATGGGCACTATTCCCAATGGCGCAGCAGCCCCGCGTGGACACGGAGCAGCCCTCACCCCCCAGCCTCGGATATGGCCCCCCAGAAGCCTCTCGGGGCCGGCCCAGGGGCTGTATCCTGCGGTCCCGGGCACTGAGCCCCATCCCAAATGGCTCTGATCGCCATGACAACGCTGACTTCAGCCTCTGCCACCTACTCAGGCTCAGAGACACTGGGTGCTGGCTGATGGATTGGTGCGGGCACTGGTGAGTGCTCCCCGGGCTCCCTTTTCCCCTTGGGATCGAGTCTTTTGGGTGGGAAAAGGGTATTCCCCCCCCACACGCAAAACTTTGCTGGCAGCATAAGGTGTCTGTGCTTTAATGCATCCGACGGAGCCGGGCAGGTGGTGGGCAGGGCGGCTGGACGGGCAGCATCGCTCCGGGGTGCTGGTCCTGCCTGCCGGAGGTGTGATGAGTGCACCGGCCTCGGTCAGGGCAGCGGGACCAGGCTTGCGCTTCCTGGGGACACATCGAGGAGCTGGGAACACGGCGAAGTGTTGGGGGCTTAGGAAGATGCCTGGACACATCAAGGTGCCGGGACACGGCGCGGTGGCGCGGGGGTCCCTGCCCGAAGCCCCGGCAGCGCGGGGGGCCGGAGTGCCGTGCCGGGGGGACCGTCCTCGGGGTGGCCGGGGCAGCGTGTCCAGCCCCGCGGCGGGGCCGCTTTCCTTACAAGGAGTTTGGCCGGAGCCCGAGCAGGGGAGCCGCGCTCGCCTCCTCCCGCCTCATTCATCGCAGCCCCGGCCGTGCAGGGGCCGCTGCTCCCCCGGCCCCGCCATCGCCCCCGGCCCCGCCATCGCCCCCGGCCAGCCCCGCGTCCCCTCCGGCCCTGGCTTTTAAGGTGGGAGGCTGCGTTTCTCTTCTCTTTCTGGGACGTGAAGGGTGGGCGGAGGGCTGGGGAGTGGTCCCTGTATTTCGGTGAGGTGCTGGCCGCCAGCGTAGGATGGGGATGCCGGCCACCCTGGCTCCAGGATGCGGGGGTTTTCCTCCCCCGTGCTGCTGAGCCCCCTGTTGCTCAGGCTGGGGCACCCCACGAGCCAGGCAGTGAGAAGGTCCTCAGCCGGCACGGTAGCGGGTGTCCCACGTCCCTCCCTCTCTCCCGCAGGACCGAGGATGTCCTCGATGTTCGGCAAACCCCGAGCCAGCGGCGAGCGGCCGCCCCAGAGCCCCCTCCCCGAGTGCAACGTGGCCATCCTGGGGTGCCGAGGGGCCGGCAAGTCAGGTGAGACAGGCGCCCACCACTACGGGGATGGCCGGGCACCGGGGGGGGCTGCCAGGGTGGCAGTGCCATGGGGGGACACCTTCCTCATCTGCCTCTTTCACCCCCTGCAGCCCTGACCGTGAAGTTTCTAACCAAGAGGTTCATCAGCGAATATGATCCCAACTTGGGTAAGACTCTGTCGTCCCATGGAGTATCCTTCCCATCTCCCACGTTTCCCACAAATATGGCATTTAGGGGGGAAAAAACCCCAACCCACTCAAAATGATACAAAAAACAAGAAGGAGGACTGGATTTGACCCAAACCCACTTGTAAAATCAGAGGTGAAAGCAGTGCCCTCTCTCTCTCTGTGGGCAGATCCCACGGGGGAACGTCGGCTCCTCGCACTGCCCTGAAGAAACCAAAAGCTGAATTCTTGGGGCTCCCTGGGGAGCTTCTGGTGCCTCCTGCTCACCCCAGGGGTGTCAGGCAAGGGAAGGGCTGGGGGAATGAGGGGGGTTCAGAGTGAGCGACCCTGGGGGCTGAGTTTTGCAGCAAGCAGTTCTGGGCATTTTTTTTTCCACTCATTTGAGTAATTAATAACTATTTTTCTGGGCCTGACTCCAGGGCACAGGGAAGAACCATAAATGATTTATCGGGGACATTAGGGAGATATGGACCTTGTCCAGGAACCGACTACAGCCCCTAATAATTCAGTGACTCTTAGGAAAGAAGGATAAAGCCTTTCCTCCTCAGATATTTTTGGGAATGTGGTTTCATCTTCCCACGTCAAAACCTTTCCGAAACACATCCATTAGGAGCTGGCCCAGAGAAAGCATCTTTCTCCCAGGGGAATGGCTCAACAGCTCTCCCTGCCTGCCCTGCTTCCAAAAGAAAGGGCCATTCCTCTCGCCTGATTTATTGGGAAACAGCCCCATGTCAAGCCCCCAGCTCGCTTTATCTCTTCAGGCTGAGGCTTTTAGATAAGGGCTGAGCCCCGGGTGCCTGTTGTGCCGGGCTCCTTCTTCTCCCTCCTTCTCCTGCTGGAGCTCACGCTTGTGGCACGCAGGGGGAAATGAGCACTCCTAGCTGGGCTTGCCCAGCAGCATCACCACCAGTCTCCCAAAATCACATTGTCTCAGGAAGGAGCAAAGTGTGAGGCGTCAGTGGAGGATACTCCTCATCAGGGCTGAGATTGTTCCACAGCGTCCCAAGCATCCGGCGCTTTGCCTGGCTTTGGAGAAGATGGGGCTCATCCCAGCTCATCCTCACAACCACCCTTCTCCTTGCAGAGGACACCTACACCTCGGAGGAGCTGGTGGACCAGCAACCTGTGCTGCTGAAGGTGATGGACACCGCTGACCAGGTGAGGCACCGGCGCATCGCTGGTGTGATCCACCTGGATCGTGGCTGGACCAGGTCTGGATCATGGCTGGACCAGGTTTGGATCATGGCTGGACCACGGCTCAGCCGCTCCTCTCACCCCCAGGATGGCCCCGAGAACTGCGAGCGCTACCTGCGCTGGGCCAGCGCCTTCCTGGTCGTCTACAGCATCGACGACAGGAGGAGTTTCGAGGGCTGCCAGCGCTACCTCGAGGTGCTCGCCCTGCATGCACGGGGCTGCCAGCACCGCTGCCCCGTGCTCCTGCTGGGAAACAAGCTGGACATGGACCAGTACAGGTATGGGGCTGTTCCCTGGGAGACAGAGCTCACAGATCCTCCCATCCCTCCATCTGGGATGCAAAACCCAAATCTGATTTTTTTTCAAGGGTGTTTCCACACCCGTTAGTGTTTGCCACGTCCTCCCACATCTCCGAGGTTCCTGCTCTCCTGCCCAGGGGATGATGTGTTTATTTTGAGCCCGTTGGTATTTTTCAGCGGGATGTTTTTCGGCCATGTGGTGAGGCAGCGTCAGCACCCCTGGCAGGGCTCGAGCCAGAGTAGCCCCTCTGGACATGCCCTTCCTTTCTCTGGAGTCCTCTGGTTCCGGCCCCACTGCCAGGACTGGATGTGCCTGATGTGTTTTTCTGGCCTTTTGTGCCGCTCTGTGGTCCCTCAGGTCCCTGAGTCACGCGTGTTGCTGAACCCCCTGTGTTCCCAGCATGGAGGTGTCTCCCCACAGAGGGGTCTCCTCCACATTTCCCAGTGTACGGCCATCACACCCACCCCTAGGTCCCTGGCACACATCCCCAGCAGTGTGATTCCCCAGGGACCACACACAGCTCATTACTATGGGATTTCAGGAAAGGCAAAACTCTTTTGGACTCAGAGGGTGACAAGAGGGTGCTTCCCTGGCGCCCAGGGGAAGCAGGCGTGGGATGCAGGGTCCGCTGCCTGCAGCCTTTTCGGGAGGCTGCAGTGCCCCAATGGGTCCTGCAGCCAATGCCCTC